AGTAAGCAGTTTATAAATACTTCTACACATGCAGTATTCTTGACTCAAAAGCGCATTTGTAATGTGCTTAATGATTGTGTTTTCATACTTTATTACTTACTGAATTTAGTCATGAACAATTAATATTTCATTATTTAGTAGTTAGTGGCTTTTATAATAATTCAGAATGAGTTAATAAATGATTCATAAAATCTAGGGTGTGACCTTTATGCTTTATAAATCAATTAAAAAATATAATTAAAGGCTTTGGATCAAATGAACAATAAATGTTTGCAATCTTATCTAAAAGATAAAAATCACTAGTTTAAACATTGCAGAATAACTGGAGTGTTAAAATACAGTTAGAAATAAAAACAAATAAATAAAATAAAACAACATGATCATTTAACAATATAATATGATATAACATTTCAAAGTTATTTATCGATGTTTAAACAGCACATTAATTTTATTTTTTCTTAAGATTGCAACAAAATGTATTTTTCATTTGATACAGTTTCATTTGTGCATCTACAAGTAAATATAAATTAATAAAGTCTTAAATTTTCTTTTTTTCCTTTTTAGAATATAACTAAGCCTTTAATTGTCATTTATAATGCATTTATAAAGCATAAATAGTCTTCACTCTAGATTAGGTCACAAAACTGGAAGAAGTTTGAAATGTAAACATCTATTAACATACAAATGAACTATTATGATGCCTAAGTAAAAAGATATACGAATGTTATTTGAATAGTTTATTAATCATTTACTAACTTATTCTAAATGATCTTAAAAACCAACAGCTATTCTTAAAAAACTTGTTTGTAAATAATGCAATTCCTAAGTATTAAAAAAATTATTAACAAAGTATGAAAACACAATTATTAAGCACATTATAAATACAGCATTTTTAGATGTATTTATAAACTGCTTTATAAACTATTATATGTATATCTATTAATGTAGAGATAATCCTTAACAGGTAATAAATGTACTATTTGCTAATTCTTAATAGATGATTCATAGTGTGTAGTTGTTATAAAGTGTTACTGTTTGTTGTAAAAAATCATAATATTGCCAAAAAAAGTAATTTGTGCATCTCCTGATTCGTGTATGCAGCCATGTTGCCGTTGTAGCTGGTGTATTCTAAGAAATTTGTGTACGCCTTGGTTTTGAATGTGGTCCTGAAAGATCTCTGTTTCAAGGGGTATTTAGCCCTTCCCCTTAGCCCTACGCTTTCAGGCTAAAGAGAATTGGAATACCCTGACCCTTTCACATGAATGTGCAAAACAAAGGCTAGGAGTTAGGGAAAGGTCTAAGGGGTAAAATTTGGATTACAAGTTCACTCAGAAGTAAAACATTTGTTAAGTTACTCTGGACCCTCCTGACTGTTTTGCTTTAGAAGAGTTATAAAGATTTATAACTAAAACTGTGGTCTTTGGTTGTTTATAAAATGTAAGTTATCAGCAGTTAACTATAAAAAAAAAAAAAAACAACAACACCAAATAAACAGGAAACACTCTGGTTGTTCGATTCTGATGCTGGTATCAGAAATGTCACTTGTACCACTTAAAACCTTGGCATCGGGAATGGCTAGTACTTGAACCCATGAACTGATCCGTCAGCAATTTAAAAAAAAAAAACATAGTTATGCTCAATAAATGGGTACAAAAAAAGACAGATGAAAGGAAATGTTCATCCCCAAAATTATAATTCTGCTAGGTTTTGTTAAACACAAAATTAGATATTTTGAAGAATGTTGGGACCCGAAATCATTAACATCTAGAATAAACAAATACTATGGAAATCAGTGGTGAGTCCAACAATCTTCAATATATCTTCTTTGCTATTCAACAGAAAAATACACTTTGGTTTGGAACAAGTCAAGAGTGAGTAAATAGCCGCATGTCCGCTGGCTGGCAGTATTTCAGACTGGACCAAACAGCCAGTAAAACGGATACATGTCTCATAGGCCATGCTGTAGTTTTGAGGGATGGCAGAAGTATTAGCAATCAGTTTGAAGATGTGTCATTCTGCCAAACATGTTCGTCTCAAGGCTAGCACACAGAGGGATGAGACGTGCCAGAATTTAAAGTTTGGATGCTTCATTCAAGTTTTCAAGAGACTGTCAATGAGTGAAAAAGACAGACAACATTTATATTGGGTTTATTCTTTTGGATGACCAGTATAAGTTGCTTTTGCAATTGTTTGTAGTTTTGTATTTCAAAATGATTTAATTGAATTGATTGTGGAACCCATTTGTTTTACTTTTTTATACACTCACACTGTAAAACTAAAATCCCCTTTGCAGTTTGCAGATTTAGATTTGTGGTTGTATTTGAAATTCTTTGAAACAGTAAATAATATCAATGTATCATATGATAAAAATACACACTTTGTGTTTGTTCATGATATATTGATGGATAAACCTGAAGCACACCATAAAACAGTTCTATGAACTCACCAGATTGTTTACATAATCACAGCATCATACAGTGATGCAATGAGCATGAGAGGAATTGCTGTTTGAGTTTGCAAACTTGGCATCGTAGGGTCATATTTGCCAGTTTATTGGCTCATTTCAAGTATGAGTGATTGTTGGGCACATCTTAAAGTGCTGACTAAGTCTATTATTTATCTGTGCTGGCTTGAGCTGCGAGCTGTTTCGGATGGTTGAGCCTGATTGCTGTAAAGATAGATGTACGGTATAATATTATTTGCCATTAAGAACTGGTTCAAATGAATGGCTCATTTGCAAAAAGGATGTCACTCTAGAGGATTTGCCTGAGGCTGTGGATTAAAGGTAATAATGTGGTAAATAACATTGTTTCTTTCACAGGCCAATTGTTTTGCTTCATAAGACATCAATCGTTAAGAGCTGTGTGCATTAATCTGTTGCAAATGGCCATCTCAAGTTATGATAGTCTCTTAATAAAACAAATTGAGCTTCCTCTAGCTCAAATTGTGGAGCATGTACTCATACAATTTGTACCTTCAATTAAATGCGAGTTGCTATTTTTTTTCAACTGACAATAATGTTTTTGATTTATAAATGATTGGAAAAAATGCCATGTCTTCCCAAAACATATACTGACCTGTCATCTTAAATCCTAATTTGTCAGCTTTTTTGCACCCGAAGCACCCTAGCAACCACATAGAAATGCTTTGGCCATAGGTATAACAACACTGAATCATTAAAGACAAGCAAGTTTTACATTTTATTCAGTAAAGCCACTCACATTTCCTTCAGGTTAAGTTAATATTGTTAGTAGAATGTACAAAATGCAAAAATAAAACTTGTAGGAAAAAGTGCAAGTGCATGACACCATTTTCACGTTCACTTCCGGTGTTTAATCAGGCTTATTTGGGACCAACAGCAAGAGATTTTCAGGCTATGAATACTTTGGTCCAAAGTGGGCCAGCTGGGGTTTGAAGAGTGGTCACGGAGAAGTTTATAAAGCTAGAGTTGGCAGCATGAATTTATTCTTCAAAAAGTAAATAGATTTTTATGTGAAGATAAAAGCCATGTATTCAAAAACACACATGATATGCTATATCCCTGTATCTACCTGTAGACTATTGCTTCCACATTTATCATATATATTTTCTTTATATAGTTTTAGTTTTACTCCTATAACTCCTTTTATTTTTTATTTTTTGTGCGTGTGTGTGTGAAAGTACGGCAGTAGGCGTGTTTCCATTACAAATGTCTGCAAGACTGTAGTGTTATGTTCTGATAAAAAAAGTAAAATAATAGGTTTAATCACTTTTATACATCTAAAACTTTTACTCTTGTAACAAGTCATTCCAAAATCATGGCTATAGATTTTAGATTTGCTTGTATGTTTTACTGAAGGTGACACATGCATGTTATACAGGATTTAACAGCAAGGCAAGCCCTCTAAACTTGAGGCCAGTCACGTATGCAGTTTTTAAATTGGTATATGCATTAATAAAATGCTATAAAAAGGCCAAATGGACTTCTGGACACAGATTACATTAAGACTAAATTCCACACCTCATTAATAAAACATAATGTTAGCATCCAAGCAGATGAACGCACAAATAGCCCTATCTCAAAAGTGAAGTTCAACACATAGCTACATTACACTAAAGTACTATCCAAAAATTAGATTTCACTTTTGGTTTCTTTTATTACATCATACATAAATGTTTGTAGAATTTTTAGTTTTTAATGAAGCAGATAGTGGACTAAAATAGGAGCGCAGAAAATTTCTTTATAGTTTTGCCAATGGATTTGCTACAGGAAAACATATATAATATCAGAATAGCAATGTTTGTTTCACTGATCTTAAATAAAGTTTGCACATGTCAGGTAGTTTGTGAAAAAATAGATAAATATTCTTCACATCTTTTATCTTTAATTAACGTCAGTGAGGTTGCTGTATACAGTAAATGTACAGTATCCCGCTTATCTATGAGCAGATAATCAGCCTCAGCCATCAGTGTTATTATGAGAGGAACTCATAGTGTGTGTGTGTGTGTATGTGTACTTTCCATGCTTGTGTTTGGACTGCAGAGGCTACAGAAGGTCACGTCCTTCCGTGACTCAGACTATTTGCATGCTGTTAAAATCTGTTGCACACACAGGTTTGTGGCGGATGCTTTCCTCTTTAATAATGTCCAGACGTGGGGCAGGTCGTTTGTTGCCTTTGTGTGGGTCTTTTGTGTTTTTGTGTATGCGCTCATGTCTCTACACGGTGCGTGCAGAAGTACAGTACACACACACTTTTCTCAGAAGTCTCACTGCCCTGCGGCACAAGGCTTCAAGTCCTCCATTTCCTGTTTACAGTGTCTGAGGTTTTCTGTTCTCGATGCATCTCCACTGGGTGATCTTGCGAATTATACTCCGGACAAGGCCTGTGTTTAAAAATGAAACAGCCCTCGTTTCAGTTTCATCAAACTCCTCTCATTGTTTAAGTCTATTTGATTAAAAGTGTGCATGCATAAAGATCTTTATTTGTGTTAAATGTATTTCTCTTTTCTGTGTGCTTTAGGTTTGAAGAGATGGTCAAGAAATTCAAGGTTGAATATCGTGCTGGAGGTGCCACTCAGAACTCTGTGAAAGTTGCACAGGTTGGTGTTTTTTTAATTGCAGCCAGTATTTAATGCATACAATGCTAGCAATGACAAGGTCATAAATTCCTACTGCAGGATTAAATGTATAACCAGAAGTTACTTTCAATTAATGAGAGAAAAAGTCTAGCAATTGCATAAATGCAGTGAATGACACTACGCTCTTACTGGTGGACAAGTGGTTTTATATATCCTCTCTCTGTGGTCTAAAGTGCTTGTCTAGGATGTCTGTAAAACCACAAACCACAACATTTAAAGTCCTCATAAAATGAAATTTTACACTGATTACTTTGTTAGCGCATTTTCACTTGAAGTGAACAATGATTTTAAATAATACCTGCCCTGTGCATCCCTAAACGAGAGAAGACTGGTTGAGATGTTGTTACACAAATCTAATATACTGATATACATGTGATTTCTTGCCAAACTACACTACCTGACTCAAATCTTGTCGTCGATCCCAGTTGTAAGAGTAACAAATAATAACTTCTAGTTGATCATTTGGAAAAGTGGCAAAAGGTCCATTTTTCCAGTGAATCATCTGTTGAACTGCATCTTAATCATCTCAAATACCTCTGAAGACCTAAGATTCTCACAGATATCATTCAAGTTTGATAAAGGAAACTCATGGTTTGGGGTTACATTCAGTATGGGGGTGTGCAAGATATCTGCAGAGTGGATGACAACATCAACAAGCTGAGGTATCAAGACATTTGTGCTGCCCATTACATTACAAACCACAGGAGAGGGCAAATTCTTCAGCAGGATAGCACTTATTCTCATACTTCAGCCTCCACATCAAAGTTCCTGAAAGCAAAGAAGGTCAAGGTGCTCCAAGATTGGCCTGACCAGTCACCAGACAGGAATATTATTGAGCATGTTTGGGGTAAGATGGAAGAGGCATTGAAGATGAATCCAAGAAATCTTGATGAACTCTGGAAGTCCTGCAAGAATGCTTTCTTTGCCATTCCAGATGACTTTAATAAGTAATTTGAGTCACTGCAGAGATGTATGAATGCAGTCCTTCAAGCTAATGAGAGTCATACACAATATTAAGTATTTTTAAACTGCACAATGATTGTATATTTTACACTATACATTATTTCTGTTAAGTGACCAGATTTTGTCTAAGCAAAGTCAGACCTTACTGTCCTATTTAAATAATTAAAAATCAAGGCATGATCATATATAATTTTGGTAAAATAAGTATAATCTAGAGGCCTTTTCCTTTAATATAAGCCACTTCTGATACCAAATGATCAACTAAAAGTTATTATTTGTTGTTCCTTATAGAAGACTTTTAAACTAAATACAGGTAGTGTATTTACATTTACAGAGAAAACCCAACTTCATGTAACCTATAGTTTGTTTTTGTGTGCTTTTGACTTGACCTTGTTTATATTTAACAGTTGACATGAAAGAGATGTGTAGAGCTGTGGCAATATAAAATCATGTGAGAAACCGATTCTGCATCAATTCTGAGATTTTTAAAACGTATTTTTATTCATATGCCTCACAAACAGCCATAGAGCTTTACAAACAGTCATACCCTGCTTGCATCCACTTCTTTATTGATGTCACTTGAACCTAAAATAACTATTAATAAAATTAAGAAAAGGTTAAGTGAATTACAAGAGTGTGCATAGTAACTTGTGTTTACATTAATTTTGTGACATAGCAGTCAACAAGCACAAGCTTTCTTTTTTTATAAGTGTTTGGTTAAACTAGCCTAGAGCGGAATCTGCTGTATAAAACTAAGCTTAAAATTGAGAGAATACCAATACGTGTTGAAAATCTCAGAATGGATGCGGAATCAATTTCTCAAATGATTTTTCACCACAGCTCTAGTAGTCTGGCAGCAGGCTTTCTGTGTGCACGCTTTGTACCTGTGAGCTCGAAAATATCAGCTTTGTGTATCAGATGCCTAATCTGAGAATTGTTTTAAGTGCTTGTTTTGTTTGTTGTTGCTGGAATAACTGAAGCACATGCTGTAAAGGCTCAGGAGGCTGCTAAGGAGGCTGGACTCTGGCTGCTTATTTGCATTTAAAGCAGACACACATTACCATTGATTTTTGCTTCGTCTGAAAGGGTGAATTTACAGCATGGTATGATAAACGATCCATAAAATATTTCATTCTTTACAGTCACATGCACATTCTTGAGAGACCTAAGACTTTTATTAAATCGTGTAAAATAGGCATAATGAGCCAATTAAAGGGATGGATTAAAATGAAATCTGTCATCATTTACTCAGTCCTTCACTTGTTTAAAACCTTTTTTTTCTGTTGAACACACTATAAGATCTTTTTAAAAATTCTTGTTGCTGGTCCCCATTTACTTCCTTACTCACTAAAAAATAGTATGGAAGTTGATGGGTCCCAGCAACCAGATCAGTTTTTTTTTAAATCTTTTTAAGGCTGCACAGTATATAGTTGTAGCATCGGTATCGGAATGTATGCATCCTCAGTTATCACATTGCAAGATATGCCATGTTAAGTTTGAATTATAGTTGACCAGGACCTACAGTAATAACCATTATTTAAACAGCTAAGTCAATTGAGAACAAGTTTTCATCTACAATGACGACCTGGCCAAGAGGTAACATTAAAAGCAGATACGAAGCAGTTGTGACACAATAACAATTTCATAAACGCAGATAATAACAAATAAAACCAAGGAAAAACTAAAAACAAGCACAGTGATCTTGTACTATTAACTGGATTTATTATTTAACGAATGATATTGGAATGAAAGTGTCTTTAAGGTCTGCAACAGATGATTCAAACCATCGGCACCAGAAACTGAAGAGTAGCGGCCAAATGAAGTGCAAACTTTGGGTATGCAAAGGTTAATAAAACTACTAGTGCGCACATTTCACCACGTTTTCTGAGTTTTAAGAAGTGGCTGTAGATATAGTGGAGTTTTCTCTATAAAAGCTTTGTTAGTGAACAGAAACCAATGAATTTGATGACATGCTTGAAGAGAAGACCAATTCAATAAAGAATACAGGTGGCAGTGATGAGTAATAAATGGTGCACCAGTAACAAAACTAATTGCTGCATGGTAAACAACATCCAGTTTGTGAAGGAGAGTTTTTGAAGCTGATCTGTGAATAAAATCTCCATAATCCAGAATTGGTAATGCTGTTAAATTGACCGAACGCTGTTTTGAAGAGTGTAGTAGTGACAGTAGGACAGTATCTGATTTGTAGAGTCACTGTTCAGTTTAACCATAATAGAGTGAAAGTTTATCGTTTGCGTGTGATTTTTAAGAGAGTTTAAAACAATTGGGCACAAGAAATTATGATGTTTGGAGGTGTAACGAAGATTAATTGTATTTAATAAGTTATACTATTTATGAAAAAATGAGTTTACTTTTGATTTTTCAGTACTACTTTGTTATTAACTCTTTACTTTTTTGTTAATATGGCAATTGGTTAGTAGACAGGTTGTACCGTTTTTCTTTTTGTAATTGAATGTTTTGTAATTTAAAAAATTGTAATCTTTTGTTTTTCTTTATTCAATCTACATTGTGAGTACCCGTGTTCCCCTAGGCAGAATTAATAGGTAATAACTTCACGTAACATCTTTTTTGTCTTGTTTTCAGTCCAAATATATGATTATTTTACCCCATTAGCAGATAATGCGGCTTGTTTTATGGAAAAACTTTTAATTTTGACAAATTTCTTCTGAAGGTGAAAAGCTTTTCTGTACGATTTAGTTTTTGTACTTGAATACTGTTAGACTCACTAGAAAACTGTCAAACAGACCACCTTGTGAAACTGTATTCATATTGCAACATACAGTTGAAGTTAGAATTATTAGCCCCACTTTGATTTTTTTTATGTTTATTTTGGCTAGAAAAAAGTCTACAAAACAAACATCATTAATCAATAACTTGCCTAATTACCCTATCTAGCCTAATTTACCTACTTAAGCCTTTAAATGTCACTTTAAGCTGTATATAAGTGTCTTGAAAAATATCTAGTTCAATATTATAATAATAATTATAATAGTTCAGTGGGGCTAATAATTATGACCTCAATTGTAAATCAAAGAAAAAAAAAAGATATTGCAACATTTTTAAGATATTTCCAATATTGTTTAGAAAGAAATTCAGGTTTGAAACCACATATGGGAGAGTAAATAATTCTAGTAATTTTCATTTTTATGTGAACTAAGTCTTTAAGCTTTCTCTATGCAATGTATCTTTTGTTGCACCCATTTTCTCTCCAGCTTACCGGTTGCATGTTTATATTTGTTACTTGAGACACAGCAAGATTTAAAACTGGATGCATCTCCCATATTTATAGCCCAAACGAGAGGCAGTTATCTGACAATCTTTTCAGCCTTTCTCTTTAGCTGGCCTAGTCTGCAGCCATTTTTGGGTTAGAGCGTTTCCAGAGAGTCTAAATATTGTTTTTCCCTTTTTCATTTTTTCAAAGTTGTTCCTCGTATTCCCAAGACATGATGCTACACATCTGAGTGGGATATTTTATTTGTGTGATATTGTTTAAGGGTAACAGCAGAAACAATCTTAAGTCCCTGATGGGCAAGTAGGGTGCTGTCACAGCAGAGAATGAGATCTGCTCAAATGGCCTTGTTGCCCTCAGGGCCCAACTAGACGGAGTTTGATTCCTCCAGCACATGTCCAGTACCGCTGTGTACTTTTGCAGGTGGCTGCAGACAGCAACACTTTTAAGAGCTCAGATACAGGAGTTATTTAGACATATATCATCTAAACAGACGCATGGAATTTTCTGATGATCTCCAGATGATGCACTGTGTTCAAATCTACAGATGCATTAGGCTGTAGAGGCTTGCATCTATCACCATGAAATACAGACCACGGTGTGTGATGAGGTAAGACTGTGGATAATCATTTGGGAATCTGCCAGTGCAAGCAAATGTGATTTCATTACTTTAGTGTCTGACTCCTTGTGTTGTCGGGCACATTTGTTATGACCTCAATGCAGCCCGAAAGGACTTACAGAAATGATT